AACTTTTCGTATAATGCAGAAATGGTACAGTGTACAAATTAAGAATTTATCGCGAGAGATTAAGCTGATTCAGAATTCAATGATTACAGAATAAAGGCTCCTGTAACGTAACGCAAATTTGTTTAGAAACTTATGTTTAAGGTGGTTATTTTTGGCTAGTGATTTGCATTGAAGGATGTTATGAAGTGGTCATTTTCTTTAAAACTCCTTATATTATTAAAACTTAGTTTAGTTTTTATCGAACATCCAAGGCAATGTGATGTTGTAACGCTATGTTAGAAAAACAATGTGATGTTGTAACGCTATGTTAGAAAAACAATGTGATGTTGTAACACCGCGGAACCTAAAACACTATAAAAAAACTATTGAAAAATGTGGTCGAATTCTTTATGACCAAACGTTCTGAATGACGCATCGCATACAAAAGTTCCAGTAATTCGAAAACATCGAAGTCTAAATAAAGGTTGCGGTCATGAACTTCTTTTTCCAAATTTTAAAATTAAATTTTGTTACTCATTCAATGCAATTTCATATATTCCCCATGTTACAACCTCAAAATAATTAAAATATCACGAAGAGTCTCCAAAACAATAAAATTGAAAAACAAAAACTGATTGTTTTTCTTTGAACTACCCATGAAATTTATTCATCACAGATAAAAATGTAAGCATTCATCAGATTGATGTATATGGTCAGGGAATATTTTAGGGCATCGATTATGGTCTATGACTAATACAATTCTTAATTATACAAATATATTATTTGGTACACGAACCAACCTATTGAGTTCAAAGTCGAAAAGTTTTCTATTCTAATAAAAGTTAAATATTTTTAGAAATTCATAGAAAGGCAAGGAGAATAGATGCACTATGCCTATATATACATTGAAAATGCATTATTTATGTCCAAACGAATTTCATTAAATTATTTATTTAGTAAAAAAAACAAGAAAATAAAGGGAAAATTTAAATATAAAAACAATTATTTTCAAAAGCAATTTATATCAATTGGAATTTAATTGAAAAAAAAAAAAAAGAGAAAAATCCCTTCTAACATTTTATTATTGTTGATGGTGGCGCGTGTACGAGCATATGCACTTATTGTAAATTAACAAGAATAATTTCGCATTTAAACACAATGAAAACAAAATTTTTTTTTGCAACAATTGCCAAGTAATCATACACGTATGTAAATTGACATGCAATACTGCAAACCAACTTATACATTGTATGATAATACAATTATTGTGATGCGATGATAATTTTGGAATGAATATGAAGTGTTTTTCATATGACTTGTGACCAAGAATATATATGCATATGAACTGCGTCTAAGAAGTTTTTTATTTTTGTTGTTAGATGACTCAATTTGTTAGAATGCCTCAAAATACAATAGAATAATTTAATTTTAACAATTTTAAATTAAATTTTCTCATATTTATTTTAAATTAACAAAATGGAAATTGTTGGAAAATTTCTTTTATTATTCTTTTGAATGAATCATTTTTGAAAATGTTGCAAGAAATTAAAAGAAATAAGAAAATTGTAATTAATTTGGACAACTAATACTCGTAATTGGCAATAATCCTGCCTTTTTGATTTTGTTTATATTTTTCAAAATTTGACTGTTGTCGAATTATTATGGTAATAATTGTGTCGGACTATTATGGCAAAGGAAGTAATTTTGCGAAACGAATTACATAAGGAAGATGAAATATTATTTTTCCGAACTAATTTCCTCCAGTACATTTACAAACGAAACAAAACGAATTCATTGGAATAGCATTTTCGAGAAACTGAAATTAAAAACTGCTTTTCGAATTGCAGACTGTTATCAACAGATAACATAAAAGTTGTATACCCCCGAAAAGAGAAGGCATTTGAGAGAGTAAAAAAATTCACTACTCATTTCCAATTCGTTAATATTTCACTTATGTACATAGATTCCCAAAATTCTTATGTGAGTTATAATTATAGAATTAAAAAATTGAAGTTAATAATAATTAACAATTTTAAGTTGTACTTAGCTGGTTCACCTACTGATGCTAACCTGGTGGTGAAAGAGCAAAACAACCTCTAATTCAACATAATTTTTAGAAAACCAAAAATTGTGCTTTGCGTCTTTGACTAACTCTCACAGTAGATAGCTACAATATTGCCAATTTCTTTAAGAATTTTCATTTACTTATATTATAGCTTTTATTTCTCCTTTTAGATGAAAATCCGCTGCTGAAAGACCAAAACAACCCCAAAGTTAACAAAATCTTTAGAAAACCAAGACTTGTACTCTGTTTCTCCTCTATCCAGCCTCCACAGTAGATGACTGCAATTACTAATTTCTTCCTAAATTTTTATTTTCTTTTATAAACTGCTACTTCCCCTTCCAGAATATACAAAATTTATATAGAAATACTAAAATATTTTCAATTTAAATTTATTATTAAATTATTTTAAAAAAATTTCTCAGTTCTCATTCATTCAAATTAACTTTAATTTTTTTTAATTAGTTTATAGCATATTATAACAAAAAACCATATTAATTTTAACTTTGATAAAATATTTAAAGAAATAAATTAATTCCTGACCTTTCTTCACCTTGCCTTACCTGTTCCATACACACACGTATAATGAATGAAACATAAATAAAAAAAAATTAGTTGAACTTCTTGAAAATGTCAACTTCCAGAGAGTTCTATTCATACAATATTTTATGAGCAAACGAACTTATTCCTACTTATTTTTAGTATACTTTAAAAATAAAATTTTGAATATTTTTATGGAATTTTCAAAATTATTTATTTTCCATAAATAATTTTTCTGTTTTCTTCCTGACTATAAAATCCATTTAATTTTCATTATACGAAAATGAATTTTAAATGCTCCAAATGTTGCATATCACCCCTCTAGTATAGATCTCTTTTTATTACTGCACATTGTGCTTAAGTCAAGTAAGAGTAATTCATTGTTTCGTGTTTCCACCAACAATTCCTATAAGTATATTTATACAAGGCTGCTCTTATATACGTGATGTTATTTTAAGTTAAAAGGGTTTTTCGGTTTAGTTTAAAATTTTTTTGGTTTTTTTTTCGTTGAAACTCCAAATCTCTAAATGAAAAATATGATTTATTTTATTTTATTTAATTTTTTTTTTGTTTCTCAAAATATCCGATCCAATGTACTAGGATGAGCATATGTTTTTGTCGTTGTTATTTTTTTTAGAATAAAACAATTTTTATCACAGCATGTGACACTTTATCATATATGAATTAGAAGAATGGCATTGGAAATGAAATTTTAAACAACGAAGAAAAAACTAAAAATATAAGAATTTTCAATTTTCCCCGAGATTTTTTTTTTTTTTTGGTAATAGTTTTTGGTTTCTTTTTCTGGTCGTAAATTGAAATTTTAAGAAATAATTCACTAAAAGGAAATAATTTTGTTTTTGCTTTCATGATTATAGAATGAAACAAAAAATAAAGTAGAAGAGACAAGGAGTAAAATTTGTGAGCCGGAGAAAAAAGTTTTCGTATACAACGAAAAAAAAGAAAACAAGAAAAAATGCATACGCAAGTACCGCAATTAAAAAAGTTTTCCCATAAAATTTTGTTTTTGTTTTGGATTTAATAAAATTACAGCCAGTCATATGACATGGAAATGGTTTTGACAATAATTAATAAGACTGCAAAAAAAAGTTTTCAATTAGCGGAAAATTTTTTTAATAATTTTTTCTTAAATATTTTAACATTGCGTTTAATAAATTTTCCGGAAAAACTTTAAGTATTTTATCTCTGTAATAATCGTAGCGGTCTCGTTCTCGAATACTTTACTTTATAATTGGGATCTTGGCCGGTTTCTGAGGAATTCAGGCTGGTTCTAGTGAGGGAGAGAGGGAGGATCTGGCAGCATCAAAACGGGCCTTAGTGACCTAAGTCTACCCTTCGGTTGGCAGTGCAACCTAACCTAACCTAACCTACTTTATAATTAATCAATTTGTATAATTTCTTAAAATTGGACGATCCAGCATTTATTATCCAGAATTCAAAACATTAGCCGAAGTAAATCAACATTTATAATCTATAATAGAGAAGCTACTGCTTAAATGGGCAGGCATTCTCTTAGAGAATGGTTTAACAGGTGATATATAATTGCTTAGTCAAGAAAATGTTCCCGTTCAAATGCAATCAAATAAGTTTAATTAATCATATACAACGGAATAATATTTACTCCATTCTTTATTTACCCTATGTCAATAGGGTAAATAGAGAAATATTCGTGATAACAGTGATCAGATATACATATATCAATTCAGCATATATGATGACACTGTGCACTAAAAGAGACAGAGCATCAGGAAACAAACAAAACAAAAGATGATAGATGTTGCTTGAAAATCATTTATATTTCGCAATGTACTATCACAAATCCGAAATAATTGAAATTCTTACGAAGATCAGTTCTAGTGTCATCTGTTGATACTATTACATGAGAATTATAAAATTTGTCATCAAGAGAATTATAAAGTAATTGTATTATCAAGAGAATATTGTAAAATCATCAATTAAACAACACAAAAACGAAACTTTCATTGTCGAAGCGCGGTTATTGCACTTACTTCAAATACTGATTTGAATAAGAACAAATAGACACTTATACTAAATCCATTAGACATTAAAAAATTACAAAGAGTCGCTTCAATTTAATTTGTGTTCAATTTTAAAATTAACCACAACAGTTGTACCTTCTTGAATCAATTCACAATTATTACTACAGCAGCATTTGAATTCTTTATTTTGGACTTTGAAATAGAATGGAACTTGCCTTCTATGTGATAAGTTTTAACATCTTTGTGCAGATATTTCAAATACAAGTCAATGTCCAATTCATATTTCAACTGGAATTACTTGTTACATAATCCGAAAATAGACAATTTCGAAGAAAAAGCAAAACTGGTTGCTTACATAAGTAAAAAGACTATTTTTCAATTAAAGATAATGGAAAATCTTATTCTCCTATTTTAGCTTTAACGCTAAATTCAACTTCAATAAAAATTATAAAAAACTTTACGTTTTAAAACTTGTAAGTAAAAATCAAATAACCATATATGTAAGTAAAAAATTCACTCACCGTTCTTCTAGCTTTATAAATTCCCACGATGTTGAAAGCTGTTGCATACTAGCGCTACCACTTTCATCATCATCATTATTTAAAAAATGATTATTACTATTACAGGATTTTGTTTTATTCATAAAATAATTTCGTTTTGTTACAGCACTACCATTGTGATGACCATTACTATTATCACAATTATAATTATGTTTAGAAGCTGTTGTTGTACTTAAAACTTCTTTACTATTAAATAAAAAAGGCACTCCTTTTGATTTAATTCTTTTTATATCAGAAGTTTTTATATCACTTGTAATTACTGTTGGTGTTATTTTCATATCAGATGGTATACTAATTGTTGTTGGCCTTTTTACTGTTGATATTAAATTATCTTTATAATTTATATCATTTTTAGCTAAAGCCAATGATGTTTGTAATTCTGTTAAAACTGCTTTTAATGATTTTTGTCTATTATGTCCAGATACATCATCATCTTTATTTAAAGTACGTCGTATAGATTTGATTTTCAATGCAGCTGCTTGATTTTGTTGTTGCATTTTATTATAATTTGATGTCGATGATGATGTTGGATTTTTTGATGCTATTGCTGTCATTGATGTTGTTTTTATTCCATTGTTTTTATATTTTTGTGAAATGTTATTATAACAATCAAAACTATTAAAACTTGTACTCTTACATTTCTTACTATTATTGTTGATAGAGTAACAATGAATTAAATCAGAAGATAATGATGTTGATGACAGTAGTAGTGATGGTGGTGGTGGTAGTGGTGGCGGCGGCGGCGGCGGTGGTGACGGTTTTAAAGACAATGACATTGACGTTGATAATGTTGTTGAAGTTGTAGATAATGGTGAAAGAGATTTTTCATTTACTGTTTGTATACCATTATAATATGATGGCAGTATATTACGTAATGGTAATGGTGATAGTTGATGCCTTTGTTTCTGTTTTTGCTGATGTTCTGATTGTTGCTGAGATGATAAGAATTGTTGAGGTGATGGTGGTGATGGAGAAGGTGGTGTACGACTAGACGATATACAAGATAAATATAAAGAACTATGATGATTGCATTTACTATTATTGCTATTATTGAAATAATTATAATAGTTCATTGCTGTATTATATTTTATTGATGAATGTGTAATGTTTTGAGAATTTGATAATGAATAAAATTTTGTTTGATCACTGGAATGAATTTTAATGCAATTGAAAAGTGCAAATTTTAGAAAATTAATGAAGTATAATGGTGTATATGAATATAATATGTATATATGAATGTAAGTATTTATATATTTATAAACTTATATTTGATAATGTACTTCAATATGTGCATTTGAAATTAATATTTATGAATGTGATAATTTGAGAGTGTAAAAACTAAATGTAAATTTTTGTAAATGAATAAACAATATTGTTAGCACTTAACACTTATTTTCACATATGTATACGTATATAATAAATATATATACATAAATATATTATTATATTAGTATAAAAGCGACAATTGTTAATGGTTTTGCCTACAATATCATTATGAATTTTGTAAATATCACAAACAATTTTTGATTATTTATGAAATGGGTATAAGAGAGCCTAAGAATCTGGATAAAACTGTCGTTATAGACTGTCGAATACCAGGTTTTACAATTTTATGGCGTTGCCAATATTTTTCGTATTAAATAGTTTTAGGAAAGATTTTTATAAATATATGCGGTATGAAACGATATAGACTGTTATTGACCTACACATTCCATGGAACTTAAATTAATTCTTTTTGGCTTGTATAACATTTATTCATCTACTTCTTTTTCTGAGTTTATGAGTACCGTCTCGTTGCTTCAAAGAGATTTCGTTTGAAAATTGCCTGAGAAACTTTAATTTTGTGTAAGGAATGTGAAATAATTGGGAAAATATTGAGAATGTGACGAAAGTTTTGCGTATAAGTAATGTTAATTTTAATTCTCTGTATAAGTACTTCAATACTAAATTAGCAAGAGTATTTTACTCTTGATTCTACTTAAAATTGTAATAATGGTGAATTGTGTGTGAATTTTTCTCACGGCAAATAGTTTAACTCAATTCTGAATTCGTATTACTACAAAATCGAATTTGTTTTTCGTAATTCCCTATCAATCTTTTAATTACAAGCACCTACTTCTTGTTTATAACATGCGTTTACATCGTAATTAACAAGTTTTCATTAATTTTTTTTTGCAATTCAATGATTAAGTATATTCAATGATTAAGTATAATTATAAAATCATCTCAAATTTTATATAATTCTATAAATTTAAATTAGCCTTTTTGTTATTCTAATATAACCCCATGTACACATACTTATTATATATGAATGTATAACATGTAAATGTTTGGCAATTTCAAAAACAATTGCTGTAAAAGTCATTTATCTGTTGATCTGCCATACTATTTTCTATATATGTGTGTACGCCTATAAGTATATATAATTGATTTCAATACTATAATTCCGGCTGTATGCTCCATTCACGTACGCTAGTATACATAAGGGAAAACTTAATTAAAAATTCAATTCTTGTTTATTTGAAAAATTTTATAATTTTTTTATTATTATAAATGAAAACTGAAACCTCCGTTTATTTAAATTGTATTTAATTATAAATTGACCAGAGAAGACAAACAAACAAACAAAATTATTACATTACATAGGTATTGATTTCAATACAAAACAATTGTAACTATGTAATCAAGTATAATGCCTATATACAGTCCAATATAATTTATAATTTCTTATATACTTCATATACATAATTTCTTATATACATATACCTATGTAGTACGTGTATATTTTACTAATATGAATAAAAAAGAATAATCAATTTACCCATCATCATCATCATCATTATTGTCTATAATTTCATTTATATCATTTGTTGCATTTCCTCTTCCGGTTTCTATACTATTATTACTACTGCTGTTACCACCATTATTACTATTACTACTACTACCATTACTTGTGTTATTCCATGAGGACAATGATACAAGATTTTTTATTGGTGTTGCGAAAATTTTATCCGAAAATAGACCCATACCTTTTCCTCTATTTTTTCTTTTATTTTTAATTATTTTTTTAATTTTTAAATTATTTTAGTATTTAAAAATTTAAAATTTTCATATAAATTTTATGTGTTATACTTGGAATTAATTAATATATGCAAATTTTTTTATTTTAATTTTAAATTATACAAATTTAATTGTGGTTTCCATTGATTATAGAGAAGCGCAATTATTTAATTAACATAAACATTTTTTAATACTAGAAGTATGCAATTATTATTTTTTATTTTTTACCTTTTTTTGTGGTTTTCTTTTAACAATTGTATTGCATTTCTTTTTATAACAGTAATTTAAAAATTATAAAATATGAATAATATTATAAACTATAGCAGATTTTAGTTGTTATACATTTATAACTAATTTTATTAATTAGGTTACTTGTACATACTTAACTGTTCTATTTGCCTATATACATATATAAATAATAAAAAATATGTAAAATTGCAATTATTTTTTTATATTTTTTTCTATGAAATTAGCGCACGAAAACCTCTACTATTAAGTTTAAATTCAAATAAAAAATTTTGTTATACAAAATGAAGTTGGTTGCATATTTAATGTTATATTAAGTTTATAACAGAATATGTATGCGTACATAAGTATATTTAATTATATTGTTGCGTTACATGGCTTGTTAAATGTATATAAGTAAAAGTGTATATGACTATATAACTGTATATACTATATAATTATAATTTTGTTATACGACAATATTGTTCTAAATATAATGGTTTAAATTAATTAATAATATAAATTTTGAATGTTATTTTTCTAGGTATATAGAAAATTAGAGATTTTGGACCTTACTATGTACATAATTCGATTTTCGTAAGACAATTTTCGTTTTTGCAGAAATGGAAAGGCAGTACACCATACAAAATGATGGATACTATCTAACAATTTTTCCGAATACGAAAATCGTTTCATTAAAATCGAATTACATATATGTATGTATAGTAAAGCTCACATGAACAGTGAATTATTTTTAAAAATTATTATTCATTTTACTGAATAAGACATGAAAAACACCATATATTGCCCCTCAATAGATATTTTATTGTTCCTGAATTGATATATAAAATTTAGAAGTAAATTAAAATATTGTGATATCCAGTCAAAATATTATGATATCCGAAACAAGATCCCGAATCGAGCAAAGATTTTTTCTGAAATGTAAATTAAAAGCAAATTGCAGTAATTCAATAATACGAATTTCTCGGCGACTCATATTGTATATAGAAGTTCATATACTGACATTAGATCGACATTTATAGGTTTTTGTCCTTGTTTATGTTCATCCATCTTAAAATTCACCTCAATTATTAAAAATATTCTACGAATTTTTGAATTAAAAATGAGTAGGTACTACTACATTGAATATTTTAAAAAATTCAAAATTTTAATCAAGTAACAAGTTGAAGTAACAATTAAATTAAATGAATTAAAAAGTAAATATTTCTACACTCAGAAAAAAAAAATGTAATTACATTTCATTTAACTGTAAAATTGTAAATTTAATATTCGGAAAATTATGATGATTTTTATTAAGTAACCCAGCAAAATAACTTATAAAATTTAAAATACAATAATAGTGAATTAAGAACTGTTCTAAATATGAGTTGGTACATACATACATACATACAATATATGTATACATTTAGTTAAATTAATTATTCTTATTCAAATTACTTATTGCATTACAATTGAACATAGTATTTTTCTCTCAACTGCAAATTAAGATAAGCCTGTGACATGAACTTACAATATTGTTATACATTAAATATAAATTAACATAATTACATACTTATTTATATATGCATATAATACACCCATATAGTGAACTTATATCTAAATAACATAAATATTAATGTTATAATGTGTATTACATTTTATATTCACAATAATAATATGATTAATTGGAAAAACTACACAATATAATTTATTTACGTACACTAACACAAATAGAACTTCAAAATGTAGTTATACATATGTATACATATGTATGTATGTATACACAATTTTAATACGGTATATTTTTATACAACGAAACAAAAAAAGTAAGCCAAACTTAAAATGATTTTATGTGAGTTTTTTGTGCTTTTCTCAAATTCAATTAAATTTATTAAATGTATAAAAGAAAAATTTTTTATTATAAAATAATTATAATTTAAATTCACTGTTATAATATTTATTACAAATTAATAATTTAATTTTCATATTATATTTAAAAAAAAAAAAAATTTAATTTCACTTTCCGACATTTTTAGATTTCAATTAGAAAAAGAACACTATCCAGCCGGAACAATTTAAAATAATAAAATATATGTATAACAAAAAAAAAGAACACGCATTTTCAACCCGACATTATTATATTTTTTCATCGCTAATAAATACCGCATACTGACGATGAGAATAGTTTCTAAAAAGATTTTTAATTCAACTCCGTAATACAACTACATAATATAATAAAAATTTGTAAGTTCTACTGTTATACACAACACACTTTAAAATTATACGAAGAGCAGACAAGAGGAGCAATATTTATTATTGTTTTTGTATTCTTATTACAACATGGTGTGGTGAATATTTTTTTTTATTTATTATTATTCTGCAGATGCATTCAATTTTTATTTTTTTTTTTCGGTATACTTAAAAACTATTATAAAACGAAAATAAAATACTAATAAAGAAGAAAGAAAAATAAAAAACTCTCACACAGATTTGGAAATGGAAACATTGAAAGAACTTTGACAAATCTTCAAAAAAATTTTTTTTTTTTTTACTTTTAATGTACTCCCTTGTTATGTGGTATATGGACTGACTTTATTTGGGTTTTATATATGTATACACATACATACACACATGCATTCATAATGATATATTTAGGTGCCTCCATATGTACCTATATTTTTAAGAGTCATTTTTTAATATATGATAATGTAAACATTTAATGTCATAATAACACATTAATATAATGCACATAATATTATAAATATAAATGTAGATAATATTATAATTCATTCACAAATTATGCATATTATAAGTCACCGGCAATATGTTATTGGGCAAGTGATATTGTTATACCGGAACTGTATTGTTTTCAGAAGAATTCCAAAATAATAACAAAAATTGTTTAAGTAGAAAACAAACTTTGGCAAAAGTGGATCGTAATTAGTTTAATTTCACTAATTCTCAGACTCATTGTACAATAAGTGCAGTCATGTGATGGTGAAAAATTCCGCATGTTGAGTTTTCGATGGAAACGCACTTCTCCGTGGTAAGGAAGCGTAAGTAAACTATTTTTATCAGGATGCCGATCTGTTGATCTGTGTGTGTGTACGCGTGTATCTCAAGTTTAGCTGAATCGACTTTAATAAACATTTGTATATGCGTTCACTTTAGCTATGGCATGGATTGAATAACTTTTGAAGTATATAAATTTTGAAGTACTAGACCTTTGGAACTGGATCGATTTTACATATTTGATTGAAATATGTATGTAATTAACTTGAAATTTTATATATGTAAAAGCTTTGTCTGACAGTACGAGAAATCATATAACTTTTGAAAGAAATCAAGTGCCAGCAACTGGATATTTATTACGAGCCAAATTTAAAGTTTTACGTATATAAAGAAAAGTAATAAACTGATTTTCACCGAAACTGATACACGTTTTCGTGTTTTCGTAATATCCGGATGAATTTAAGGTGAAATTCTACTAAGAGCAAAACTCAAATTTCTATATGTGTGCTAAGTAAGCGAGGCCACATTAGATATTTTTTTTTATTTTAAACTATTCTTAATAAAGTTGGGTCAAACCAATGGTTTGTATTGTAGCACTTTTCCCTTCAACAAGTGAAAATTCTGCTTTTAAATACAGTCTATGTATAGCTATCACACTATTAAAATTATTTTCATTCATATAAAAAACTATTTCTAGGATTGCATATATTTAGGATGATGCATATATGCAGTCTTTGAAATAAAGCAAAAATTAATATAAAAAGGGGTTAACATAATGCTCGATTTTAAGGTCTAATTGTGTGAGTTAAGAAAAATAATTATATTTTTTAATGTCATGGAATTTACCGTTAGCTTTTTGCGTTTATAAAAATTTGGAAAAGCTTGCGGTTTCGGAAATATAAGGTGTCAAAAATTCAAATTTTACGAATTTCAAGAGGTGATAACTTGAGAGGGGGTGGAGATGGAAAAAAATTTTCTTCTAACAAAATGAACTATTTATTAATATCTAAAAGCTCCTAAAATTTCAAGCTTCTACAGTCTGGGGTCTAGAAGAAAAACGACATCAAAAATTTGGAAAAAAAGGACTTTAAATAACGGTAAATTTGAACGGCCATTTTGTTTTTCTTAAATTGAACTATAGTATACCGCGCAAGGGGAAGCAAGCCACTGCCTTTCTGCGTTTGCAAAATTTCAAAAATGCTTATGGTTTCATTGCAACAAATATTTAAAAAAGGCCAATTTTAGGGTTTTGGGGGGGTATAACTTCTAGAGGAGGGGAGTTAGGTAAAAATTTTGTTCTACGGAAATAAGTTTCTAGTGAAGATCTATGTACGTATTAAATTTCAGCTTTCTATCTTCAAAGGTGTAGAAGTTTTGTAAACAGACACACGGACAGACGGACGGACGGACGGACGGACGGACGGACGGACGGACGGACGGACGGACGGACAGAGTGAAACTAATAAGCACTTTTTTCAAAAAATTTTTTGGAAAAGTGCTAAAAAATGTATATTTTGCCAGGTACTTTGAATTATTTATTTAAAATTCTGTTTATGTACCATATTATTATAAAATATGGGTTGCGAGTAGGTTTACAAAACCAATCAACTGAAGAACTATTAAAATGAAAATTATGGAATTCAACTTCACCATCTCATATTTTAATATTTATACCTACATATGTACATACACTCAAAATTTTTTCAGAATAGCGAATATCAAAAATTCTCTTTTCATAATAATTTAGTTTTATTTATATTTATTAATGTACTGACGTACGTACATCCGCACATGTATAGAAAAATATTAATTTGAAATGAATCAAAATAATAAGAAAACAAAATTTCGGTATATAGGAGTATAAGCTACCTATAAACATGTGTATTTTCATATTTTATGCCTCTAATATGAAATGTGAGTCATGCGTTAGTAGTTTTAAACTTATTGTAACTACAAATACACCACATGAATATTAAAACATGAAAGTGTATAATAGTTGAGAGCAAACAAAAAATTGAATTCAGAAGGTGTGTGTGAGTGTATGAAATTATGCATTTTATGCAGTTGCATTTATTCTTATGAAAATCAAAAGTCAAATTTAGTTTCCACTTCATTTTGTGCTATTATAGACAAATAAATGATAAACGTATACAACCGTATATAGTATAAACTTATACCGCTATACCTAGATCCGTTGGAATGGTCCAATCTTCATCATACTTCTTCCTGAATATCATATTTATATAGATAACGAACAGGCATATTGGCAGCCAACCGACAATTTCGAAACGTTAAATTAATGACGCATATATTCACCGAAATTAATCTGAATCAATAGTTGTCATCTACAAATGATGTGGAAACATTGTTCAAACATCACTATCTCCATTTTGAAAGGGCAAATTACATTGAACCGACTTGATATGACGCGAAAGGTGTTAAAATTAAAAGCAATGACTTCAAATCAAACAATATACTTCAAAATTGTACTTTTGTTTTTCTACATATAACGGTTTAGTAAAAAAAGCAAAAGGACAAAAACTGCTTGAGGATCTTTTTATACTTTACTATCTTCTATAATAACCCCCAGTCATAAAAACACTAAACAAAATATAATTTCAACTCTCAATATTCTCAAAATAAATATCCGTGTTGAAGTAGAAAATTATAATATAATAAAAATAATAATAATGTAAACAATATAATCTCAATTTTATAAAATTCAACACAAATAGACACGTGATCCGCATGCGCTCTTGAACTTCTTTGAAAATATTGACATAAAGAAGAAATTAGAATGAAACTTGTAAGGAAATCGTGGTGAATTAATTTTTCTCTGTTGAGATGGTTAATAACCTATTGAAATAAAAATATTGTAAAGCCTTTACATATTATTATTATGTTCATGATTATTCATATACAACACATGTAATAATTTCATATGTGTGTACATTATGAATTCATGTTTTTGTGTTTAAGTGTTGTTTTCGGCAAACCCCGGTATCTTTTACAGTTAAATCTATAAATGTATTACATACTATAATATTTAGACTCATATG